TGGTGGGATTGCAAATTCATGCAATCCCTATGGAAACTAAAAATGGGGGCTCAAGAGATGGCTCAGTGGTTAAGAGCGCTGACTGCTCTTGCAGAGTTTGGTTCCCAGCACCCACATGGCGGCTACAAACGGTCCTTAACTCCAGTTCCAGAGGAATCCGAAGCCCTCTTCTGACCTCTGTAGCATTGCATGACACGGGTGCACTCACATACATGCAGGCAGTACACTCATACACATAAAAATAAAATATTTTTTAAAACCCTAAAAATGGCACGACACTGGTGCACTTACCTACATGCAGGCAATACATGCATATACATAAAATTAAAATAATAAAAATTTTAAACTACTTAAAAAAAAAAACTAAATTAAAAATGTTGGCTAGGTGGCACACACCTTTAATCCCAGCACTTGGGAGGCAGGGGCAGGTGGATCTCTGTGAGTTCAAGGCCAGCCTGGTCTGCATAGAGAGTTCCAGGCCAGCTGGGGATACAGGGAGACGTTGCCTCAAAACAACCCCCCTCAAAAGAAAAAAAAAACTAAAAATGAACCTACTGTATGACCCGGTTACACCACTCCTTGGCATACACCCAAAGGACTCATCCTATTGCAGACACACTTGTACAACCAAGTTTGTTGCTGCTCTTTTCACAATAGCTAAGAGATGGAAGCAACCATAGTGTCCCTCAGCTGACGAGTGGATAATGAAAATGTGGTACATTTACACAATGGAGTTCTACTCGGAGGTAATGAAAGATGAAATAATGAAATTTGCAGGTAAATGGATGAAATTAGAAACTGTTATACTAAGGAAAGTAATACAGACTCAGAAAAAAAATGATATATGTTCTCCCTCATTCGTTGGTGAATTCTAGCATCAAATATTTATGTCAGTATATATCCTAGTATAACTGCAGGAACCAGGAAAATGGAAAGTAACCAGGGAGGTAAAGGGAAAGAAGGAACCTGAGAGAGAGGAACAGTAGGAGACAATTGTTACTAAGGGAGAAATTTGTAAAATGGGGGTAGTTAAAAGGAAGGGGGAGAGGGAGGGCTGTACAAGGAACTATAGGGATAAAAGGGGAAGAAGGTACTCAAGAGAGGGAGACTGGGGAGGGGGAGGCATGGATTGAGGAGGAGGTCTGGATGTGAGTGGGAAATAGTGTATGAAATTTTAAAAGCTCAAAAAAAAAAGTTGGAGCTGGGGAGATGGCTCAGTGGTTAAGAACACTGACTTTTAGCAGAAGTCCTGGGTTTGAATCCCAGCACCCACATGGCAGCTAACAACTGTCCATAACTCCAGTTTCAGGCGAACGGACAACCTCTTCTGTCCTCTGCAGACATTGCATGACATGGGTGCACTTACCTACATGCAGGCAATTACACATATACACATAAAATAAAAATAAAAAATAAAATAAGTTAAGGGGCTGGAGATATGGCTCAGTGGTTAAGAATACTGGTTGTTCTTGCAGAAGACCCAGGTTTGAATCCCAACACCCACATGGCAGCTAACCACTGTCCATAACTCCAGTTTCAGGCGAACGGACAACCTCTTCTGTCCTCTGCAGACATTGCATGACATGGGTGCACTTACCTACATGCAGGCAATTACACATATACACATAAAATAAAAAATAATAAAATATTTTTTTAAAAGTTTAAAAGAAAAAGAGAGGGGAGACCATAGCAGACAGGAATTATCAAGGGAAAATTGAAATACTTTAAATGGGGAGGGCACGGAAGGAAAGTTAGACAGGGAGGGAGAGAGAGGAGAGATAAATAATGTCTAATTAGTATAAAAAACCAGAGGGAATCATATTAGTCCAAAAACCTACTGAAAAATTACACATACAATATCTCTACACGAGTCCATGTATAAAGCTAAAGAATACATAACCAGAAACAGTACCAGACAGGAGAAACCTTCCTTTGAGTTGTTGACCAGAGTGGTCCAAGTGACTGCCAAAATTACACAGGCTATTGCCACAGTCCTTGGTTGCCTTCCAAAACTTGAAGTTAAGACCCTACTGCTGAAGACAGGGCATACTTCGGACACAGGATTTGGAGCAACGCAGCTGGAATTGACCTGGAAGCCACATTCTCTGACAGCTAGCTCTCATAGCTTTGGAGAGCACTATGCAACCTGCTAAGGGAGAACATCAATTGATGGTCCAACTCCAGCTTCAAGGCCTAAAAACCACATCAATGACCAGCAAAACAAACAACATTGAACTCACAGAGATATGCTTGCCTCTGCCTCCTGAGTGGTGGGACAAAAGGTGTGAACCACCACACCTGCCTAGTAGTGGCACTTTTATCTTGGGGGTAATCAACAGCTACCTAATTGGACTTAAAGCCTACTCAATGGGAGAAACTCATGTGTCGGTACTGTAAACCTAGTCAAACATAATTGGAGAGGTCATAGATCTTAGAGAAAACTCCAAGGCTGTCACATCTTTAGACAAATGTAATTTCTTAATATATGCAAAATATGAATCCTTAAATTTACTGACAAGTATCCTAGTCACCACCCATCAAAGAAGCTTCTTTTTCAAAAGAGATTATTACAGAATTCCACAAGTGGTCACACACAGAGATTGTCTGTGACTTGCCCAAAGCCTAAGTGGCACATTTAGGATGCACCTCTACAATCAAAGGCTCACAGAACATAGAATAAGGATGAAGAGAACACTAATTAATGTATCTTTCAATTCTCATCAATGAAGCTCCCTCAGGACCAGGAACACAAAAGGTCATAAATGACCAAAGCATAGCAATTAAGAGTATGCAGAGTATGGGTACTTGGACAGGATTCCTATATTAAAATCCACCCACCCAGGGGTCAGGGACCATTTCAAAAGAGGGGGGCAGAAAGATTTTAAGAGCCAGGGAGGAAGTGCATGACCATATAGAAATAAGAGTCCTACAGGCTCCTGGGGGTCTTCTCATATGAACCCACAGCAACGGCGTCAGCATGCGCAAGACCAGAGGAAACTCGTGTAGACAAAAGCCCAGCACAGAACTGTGGAAATGGACATCAGGCCCCAATCTTAGTTGAAGAATTACTGGCAGCTGATTACTCCTCTTAAAGGGAGGGACTCCAGATAGGATGATTAGACCTCAGTGGATGACCTTGCACTGAAGGACATGTGAGAACACTAACTTGACATGATAGGCATTAACACAAATGACATAATGTGTGAATTCTACTGGGGGTCTATGGGAGGGGGCCAATGAGAAAGGGGGTATAAAGATGATTAAGATGGCTGGGCATGGTGGCACATGCCTTTAATCCCAGCACTCCAGAAGCAGAGGCAGGAGGATCAATGTTAGTTCAAGGCCAGCCTGGTTTAAAGAATACCTATTCTTTTTTTTTTTTAATTTCATTTTTTTAAATGTGTATGTGTATATGACCTATATGTATGTAAATGCATCCATGTTGTGCAGTCCCCGAGGAGGACAGAAGAAGGTGTCATTTCCCCTGGAACTGGAGTTACGGACAGTTGTTAACTGCCATGTAGGTGCTGGGATTCGAACCCCTGTCTTCTGCAAGAATGACCAGTCCTCTTAACTGCTGAGCCATCTCTCCAGTCCCAAGAATACCTATTCTTGTCTGATCATATCTCAATCTATTTTTAAAATTATTTGTTTGTTTTTGGTCTTTTTTGAGACAGGGTCTTCCTGTAGCCCCAGCTGGCCTGGTACTCCCTATGTAGACCAGGCTGGACTTGAATTCACAGAGATCCGCCTGCCTCTGCCTCCTGAGTGCTGAGACTAAAGACTTGTGCCACCACACCTGACTCAATCCATTTTTTTAAAGATTTATTTTTATATGTGTGAGGGGGTACCCAAAAAGATCAGGCAAGGCTGTAGGATCCCCTGGAGTTACAGGCAGTTGTGAGCTGCCATATGTGGGTGCTGGGAACCAAATTCAGGTCCTCTGAAAGAGCGGCAAGTGCTCTTAACACCACTGAGCCATCTCTCCAACCCCTTCAACTCATTTTTCATTAAGTTATTTTACTACTGTTGACTAACGTGCCAAGCATACTGGGGTAAGATTTTTCCCCTTTATCGTAAAAACTTTTGTTTGCTCTGTCTGAATTTGAAAATAGCGTCTTTTATTTTTTTTGAGACAGGGTCTCCCTGTAGCCCCAGCTGGTCTGGTACTCACTATGGAGACCAGGCTGGCCTTGAACTCACAGAGATCCACCTGCCTCTGCCTCCAGAGTGCTGGGATTAAAGGCATGTGCCAGCAAGCCAAAAATAGCATCTTTTTTTTTTCCATTGAAGTTTCTATTTAGCATTCAAATGTTCCAACAAATGTGTCAAAGGACGCCATATATTACTGTCTACATGCTCTGACTTATTAGATAATACACTAGAAGTAATTTTTTTTTTCTTTTTGCGACAGGGTCTTATAGCACATGCTGGCCTGGAATTTGTAAAGTAGCTAAGGCTTACCTTGAACTCCTGATCCTCCTCCCTCCATTTCCCATGTGCTAGGATTACAGGAATGCACCACCATACCGGGCTTAATCAATTTTTTTCCTATGATCAAGTAAGTCATTGAAAGAAATTCTACTCTGCTTTTGTAGTCACCTACCCAGCTTTCCAGCATAAGCTATTCCTTGGATCCATCACAACGCATTCCTACATCTCACCTAATCCTCTCCAGAAATGGCTTTACTGACCATCCCAGGTCCTGCAACAAGGGCATATTGGAGAAAAGAAATGGGCCCTCAAGTCATCAGCACAGAACCTTCCTCACCAACCGAAAGCTCCTGGACCCTGCCCTAAGTCCCCTCAGCGCACATGTGGAGGCCAGTCTCGGTGGCTCGGTGGGGTATCTTCCTGGCTTGCACATCCTTCGGGGCCGACTCAGTTTCTCCAGGCTCCGCCCATTCTCCAGGACTTGCTCAGCTCCTCCCAGCCCCGCCCCGAGCCAGACCCCGCCCCTTCCGTGGCGGCCCGGGTCAGCCCACGGCTTCCGCTTCCGGCGGCGTCTGCGTTGGCGCTCACTGCAGCAATGGCGGCTGGCGGTAGTGATCCGCGTGCGGGGGACGTGGAAGAAGATGCCTCCCAGCTCATCTTTCCGAAAGGTGGGACCCCGGACGGCTCGACTTCCCGGGGACATGATCCCAGCGTTACAGTCATCCTCGCCTCGCTTCAGGCCTGACCGCAGCGAGCGCTGGAGCCTGGCCCTGGGTGCGGGGTGGGACAGAGAAGGTATACCCACACCGGGTTGGTCTGCCGGGCACAGGTGAACTTGTGGGTGGCTTGGTGCCTTGGAGAAGGAGCCTTCTTAATTCCACGCCGCCGTCCTTGTAATCCTGGACACCCAAGTGCTCCTGTGGTGCCACTTGTCTTTTTCATACCGGGTCTTGTTATGTAGCCTAGACTGGCCTCAAACTTGCTCCTGAGTGCTGGGATTACAGGCACATTCCACCCCTCCTAGCATTTAGGAGGATTCAAGTTAGGTCCTTTCATGAGTACGCCAAACACAGGTCTGGAGCAGAAGTCTGATTTCTAAATTGGTAGCTGTCAGAAGCTGAGCTATGTTCCATTATAGTGCTTAGTCAGAAATAGTTCAGGAACTAGAAGTGGACCCGAGGGTACATTCTCTTGACTCTGCCTCTGAGCAGAGATGCTCCTTGTCATTGGTTTCTAGACTCTCCTTTGCAGCTTTGCAGGTTAGGAAGAAGAGTTAAGGAAGATGGGTGCCAGCCTAGCATGACTGCTGCCTCTTGTTGTCTGGATAAATGTGTGCTAGCAGCTGGGTACAGTGGTGCACACCTGTTATTCTTGCTACTTGGAAGCTGGAGTAGGAGACTTGCTTGAGCCCAAGAGTTCAAGACCAGTCTGGACATTATAGTGAGATCCCAATATTCATGCCATGCTTTTGTGACTTGTTTTGTTTTAGAGATAGGGTCTAATTAGCCCAGGCTAGCCTGGAACTGGAAATGTAGCCAAGGATGACCTCTACTTCCAGAGTTTCTAGGATTACAGCTGTGCATCACACACTAGGTTTATTTGTGCTGAGAATGAAACCTAGGGTGCTTTCTATATGTTAAACATGCACACTGCCAACTAAACTACATCCCAGTCCTGTATTACTTTTTCTTTTTTTTCTTTTTTTTTTTTTGAGACAGGTTCTCCCTGTAGTCCCAGCTGGCCTGGAACTCACTATGTAGACCAGGCTGGCCTTGAACTCACAAAGATCTGCCTGCCTCTGTCTCCCAAGTGCTGGGATTAAAGGCGTGTGCCACCACGCCCGGCTAAGCTGTAATAATTTAAAGAAGATGGTTTTCTGGTTATACAACCAGTTAACGCAGTTTTTAAAAATGATTATGTGTATGAGTGTTGCCCGAATGTAAGTACATCCGTGAGTGTAATGCCCACAGAGGCCAGAAGAGGGTATCAGATTCCCTGGAACTGGATGATTGTTAGCCACCATGTGGGTACTGTGAACCAAACTCAGGTCCTAAGCAAATTTTACTACATTTACTTCTTTGTGTCTGGGAGTGCATATGTGTCAGGGTACATGTGTGGAAGTCAAACGACAGCATGTGGGAGTTGGTTCTCTTCTTCTACCATGTGGGTTCTAGGGATTGAATGCAGTTGATCAGGCTTGGTAGTAAATACACACCCATGTGTATGTGTAGAGGCCAGAGGAGGACATTGAGTTTCCTGCTCTATGACTCTTCACCTTTTTCCCCTGAGACAGAATCTGTCACTGAACCTAGAGCTAGGCCGACTGCTTGCAGCAAGCCTGAGAAATCCTTTCTCTGCTACATACACTACCCCTGTGCTAAAGGTTTTGAGAGTGCATGGACATGCCTGGCTTGTGCTAGAGGTTTGAACTCAGGTTTTCATGCTTGCTCACCAAGTGCTCTTATCCACTGACCGTCTCCTCAGGTGCTCTCTCTTTTTTTTTTGCCTTTTTGAGACAGGGTCTCCCTGTAGTGGGGCTGGCTTGGAACTCACTATGTAGACCAGGCTGGCCTTGAATTTACAAGAGATCTGCCTGCCTCTGCTGGGATTAAAGACCACACCCAGCTCTTTTTTTAAAAAAATATTTATTTTTATTTTATGTGTACAAGTGTATTGCCTGCATGTATATAAATGTGCCTGTGTCATGCAATGCCTGTGGAGGTCAGAAGGCGTTGGATGCCTTGGAACTGGAGTTATGGATGGTTGCTAGCCACAAGTGGGTTCTGGGACTCGAACCCAGGTCCTCTGGGTAAGAGCAGTCGGTGCAACGGTTTGCTATACGTCTCTTTTTAACAGCTGAGCTACATCAACTAATGAGTTGGTTTTCTTTCTTTAGGAAGATGGAGTGATAAATTTTGTTACACAAATAGCTGTACAAAGATCCCCTACTTTGTTTCCTTTTGTTTCTTGAGTGTGTGTGTGTGTGTGTGAGAGAGAGAGAGAGAGAGAGAGAAAGAGGTTTTACCTAGAAAATATTTGTTAGGGAGGGTGTCTTAAGTCTCCTCTCCATAGTTACAGAACAGTGTCTGGGAATGGAGAGATGGCTCAATGGATTAAGAGCATTTGCTGAATAAGCATGAAGGCCTGAGTTTCAATCCCCAGCACACGTTTTAAAAAAAATTGCAAGGCATGATCACAGGTATTAATAACCCCAGTCTTGTGGAGGATGGAGACAGGAGGATCACTGGGGCTTGCTGACTGCTAGCTTAGGTCTAGGCTCATGACAGACCCTGATCAAGGGAATAATTTGGGGAGAGTGGTAGAATGAGATACCCATTGCCCTCCTCTGACCTCCATGAGCACTTGTGGGCACACCAAAACAACAAAAACCAGTGTCAGAAGCATCCCTTCTCACCTCCCACTCCATCCTCCATTTGTTGATGCTGGATCTGGGCAGTGGCCCTGGAAGGCTGTAGTTCTCAGGCATCTCTTTCCTAGGATCTTCAACAAGAATAGCCAGTCCTTTAAACCATTGAGCCAGCTCACCAGCCCCTAGATGGTGATTTTTTTTGGTCTTTTTGAGACAGGGTCTCCCTGTAGTCCCAGCTGGCCTAGAACTTGCTATGTAGACCAGGCTAGCCTCAAACTCACAGAGATCTGCCTGCCTCTGCCTCCCAAGTGCTGGGATTAAAGGCTTGTGCCACCATACCCAGCAGAAGGTGATTTTTAAATATTTATTTTTATTTTTATTTTATGTGTATACAAGTATCGCCTGCATGTAGGTAAGTGCACCCATGTTGTGCAATGCCCATGGAGGACAGAAGAGGCTGTTGGATCCCCTGGAACTGGAGTTACGGACAGTTGTTAGCTGCCATGTGGGTGCTGGGATGCGAACCTGGGTCTTCTGCAGGAACAGTGAGTGTTCTTAACCGCTGAGCCATCTCTCCAGCCCCTAGAAGGTGATTTTTAAAAGAGTATTTTCAGTTGCTGTTTGTGCTTCTCATAGAGTTTGAAACAGCTGAGACCCTCCTAAACTCCGAAGTTCATATGCTTCTGGAGCATCGAAAGCAACAGAATGAGAGTGCAGAGGATGAGCAGGAGCTCTCGGAGGTCTTCATGAAAACTTTAAACTACACAGCCCGCTTCAGTCGTTTCAAAAACAGAGAGACTATTGCAAGTGTCCGAAGGTGAGTGCTAAAAGAAAGTTTTATTCATCAGACTCTCAGCTGGCTATATCTAAGTAAAACAAGATCTTTTACCAGAAATTTAGCCAGATGGGCCAGGCGTTGTGGTGCATGCCTTTATTCCCAGCACTTGAGGCACAGGCAGGTGGATCTCTGAGGTTGAGGCCAGCGTGGTCTACATAAGTGAGTTAGTGATACCATGTCTCACAAAACCAAACAACAACAACAAAATTAGAGCAGGTGCAGATAGGGGAGGGGACCTAATACCATCAAATTATATTGTATGAAAATCATCAAATTTCAATTTAAAAATGTAAAAAAAAATTTTTTAACTAATTGTGGTGAATCTGCGGATAATCCTAGTGGGAGGTAGAAGCAGGAAGATCAGGGAGTTCAAGTTCAGCCTGGACTACAAGAGACCCTGTCTCAAAAAAAAAAAAAAAAAAAAAAGCTGGGCATGGTGGCACACACCTGTAATCCCAGCACTGGGGAGGCAGAGGCACTCGGATCTCTGTGAGTTCAAGGCCAGCCTGGTCTACAAAGTGAGTTCCAGGACAGCTGGGGCTACACTGTCTCAAAAACAGACCAAAAAAAAAGGGACTGGACAGATGGTTAAATGGTTAAGAGTATGTATTGCTCTCCCTGAGCACCCTACTTCAATTCCCAGCACCCACATTAGGTGGCTCAGAGCTGCCTGTAACTGCAGCTCTTGGGGAATCCAACACCTCTGCCTAGAGTAGGCACCACCACCCCAATGCACATCCCCACTGCCCCAGACACATAAATAAAACTTAAATCTTGGGACTGGAAAGATGCTCAGCAGTTCAGAGCACTGACTGCTCTTGCAGAGGACCCGGGTTCAATTCCCAGCACCCACATGGCAACTACGAACTATCCTTAACTCCAGTCCCAGGGGAATCCGAAGCCGCCTTCTGACTGCCAGAGGTGCACTCACATACATGCAGGCAATATATTCATACACATAAAATAAAAATTTAAAAAAATAAAAAAATATTAGAAAAAAATTTTTAAAGGGCTGGAGAGGTGGCTCAGTGGTTAAGAACACTGACTGTTCTTGTAGAAGACCCGGGTTCAAATCCCAGCATCCACGTGGCAGCTAACAACTTTCTGTAACTCCAGTTCCAGGGGATCCAATGGCCTCTTCTGTGCTCTGGCATTGCATGACACAGGCGCATTTACCTACATATAGGCAGTACACACATACACATTATAATAAAATATTTTTAAAAAATGATGGGCCAGGCATGGTGGCACACACCTTTAATGCCAGCACGCGAAGCAAAGGCAGGTGGATCTCTGTGAGTTCAAGGCCAGTCTACTCTACATAGCCAGTTCCAGACCATCCTGCCTCTGCCTCCCAAGTGCTGGGATTAAAGGTGTTCGCCACCACACCCGGCCCTCATTGTGACATTTTTATCCATGTATGCTGTGCAATATATTTGGATCATAGGATCATACCATTTTCCCCTTCTTACCTTCTTTTGTCTCCTACTTTTCATTATTTAACTTTCTTTTTTTTTTTTTTTTTTTGGTCTATTTGAGGCAGGGTCTCTCTGTCGCCCCAGCTGGCCTGGAACTCTTTGTAGACCAGGCTGGCCTTGAATTCACAGAGATCCTCTTGCCTCTGCCTCCTGGGTGCTGGGATTAAAGACCTGTGCCATCACACCCGGCTGATTATTTAACTTTCTATACTTTGATTTTCCTCTACAACCAGCTTACTTCTCCAGAAAAAACTGCATAAGTTTGAGTTGGCCTGTTTGGCTAATCTTTGTCCAGAGACTGCTGAGGAATCCAAGGCTCTGATCCCAAGGTTAGTGCTAGATGTGATAATGTCTATGCTTTGGATAAATTTCTATAAGTAGTATCACTCAGTCTAAAGGTGCATATATTTAACATTTGGGTTGGTACTTTGCCAGAAATGAATAAGAATACCTTTAGGGTATATGAGATAGGAGGTTTACTTTGGTGGGGTGGGGGCGGGGGGCTGTTGGTGACAAGGTCTCATGTACCCAAAGCCAACCCTGAGTTCCTGATCCTCATTCTTCCACTTCCCGAGTGCTGGGATTACAGATGTGAGCAACAAACAACTGGCTTGAGGATGATGCTTTGTTTTGTTTTGTTTACATTTATTATTTATTTGCTGGAGACATTATGTCATGGCTGGCATGTGGAAGTCAGAGGACAAGTTGGAGGAATTGGTTCTCCTTTCACCATGTGGGTGGGTTTGGGGAATCAATTTATACATCAGACTTGGAGACAAGTGCTTGTAAGCACTGAGTCATCTCTGCCAGCCAGAGAATGATGGCTTTATACCATACTGATAACAAGAATATGGAACAGGGTGCTGGGTCTATAGTTTAGTGGCAGAACCCTTGCCTAGCATGCATGAAGACTAGTCACTTTGGAGAGCAGTTTGACTATATAATATGAATGTGTGCCATTAGTGTAATCTATTATTTGCTGCTCCAAGGGTATCAGTGACAGCAGATATTGAACAATTATCTATCAGTCAACAGCAAATGGATTTTTTTAAATCTTATGTCCATACAATATTTCTTTTCTTAAATATTTTATTTATTATTTTTATATGTATGTATTTTCTGTGTGTAGGTAAGTGCACCCATATCATGCAGTGACCTCAGAGGACAGAGGTTGCTCGATCCCCTGGAACTAGAGTTACAGACAGTTGTTAGCTGCCATGTGGGTGCTGGGATTTGAACACGGGCCTTCTGCAAGAACAGCCAGTGTTCTTAGCCGCTGAGCCATCTCTCCAGCCCCACAATATTTCTTACAGAGCAGTGAAAATATTAGTGAACTAAAACATGCATAACAGCAGCACATTCCAAAATGAAGTTTGAGCTGAAAAAAATGACAGTATGCATATAGTATACCATTTCTTTTTTTAATATCTTATTTTTATTTTATGTGTATAAGTGTTTTGCCTGCATGTATGTAAGTGCACCACAGAGACCAAAAGAGTGTGTCAGATCCCCTGGAACTGGAGTTATGGACAGTTGTTAGCTACCATGTCGGAGCTGGGAATTGAACCTGGATCCTCTGTAAGAACAGCAAGTGTTTTTTACCACTGAGCCATCTCTTCAGCCCCATATGTCATTTCATACAAAGGTTAAAAGTATAAGATATTTGTTAAGATATTATATATATGAGAATGATAAATGCCAATTGTAGGCAGAAGTTGCTTCTGGGGAAAGAAGGGAAACATTAAATTGGGTCATTAGTTTTTATTACGGTAATTAAAGGAATTTAAATCAGGCCAGACAAAGTAGTCTACATCTCTAGTTCTAGCATTTGGGTGGAGGCCAAGGCAGGAAGATTAAGAGTTTAGGGTTGGGGGCTGGAGAGATGGCTCAGCAGTTAAGAGCACTGACTCTTCTTACAGGGGACTTGGGTTTGGTTCTTAGCACCCACATGGTGACTAACAACCATCTCTAACTCCAGTTCCAGGAGATCTGATGCCCTTTTCTGGCCTCATTTCATTGCATGCACATGGTACATTAGTATACAAAACACTCATACACATAAAATCAAAATAAATTCAAAAAAGTTTTTAAAAGAGTTCAGGGTCATCCTGGGTTACATAGTAAGTTCCTGGTTAGCCTGAGCTACATCAGACCCTGTCTCAAAATAAAAAAAAAAAACTAAAACAAAACCAAAAATATCTAAATCACATATAACTTAAGACATTTTCGATTTTCATTTTTTTTTTTTTTTTTGGTCTTTTTGAGACAGGGCCTCACCGTAGCCCCACCTGGCCTGGAACTCACTATGTAGCAGGGTGGCCTTGAACTCACAAGAGATCTGCCTTCCAAGTGCTGAGATTAAAGGTGTGTGCTACCACACCCAGCTTTTTAAAATCTTTTATATATTTGAAACATAGTATTTTTATAAAGCAAAGCTGAAAAGAAATGCAGTTGAAACACAAAGGTGGTGGAACTGTGAGTAAGCTGCACTTGGAGATGAGTTTGCTTTGAAGAACTGTGGGGAGACTGCCAGTTGCTTCACTTAAGCCTTTTGGTCTTCTTGCAGCCTGGAAGGGCGCTTTGAAGATGAGGAACTGCAGCAGATTCTTGATGATATCCAGACCAAGCGGAGCTTCCAATATTAATCCTTGAGAGCCATCGCCACAACAGCGCTATATTCCCAGGGCTGCGTCCACATTACACAGAAATTCTGTTGTAGAAGACACTTGGACTTCTGCTGTGGTTATTGTTGTGGTTTTGAAATTGACTCTCACTCTGTAATCCAGGCTGACTTCAAACTTGTGACAATCCTCCTGCCTTAGCCTTCCAAGTGCTGGGGTTCCAGGTGTCAACCACCACACCTGACTGGGCTTTTGGAGAGGAAAGGTTGGCTTGCCTGGGTCTGGGTTGCTGTTTCCACAGTGACCATTAGATCATGATGACCATGTCGTCTAGTGAAGCCTATAGGGGCTGCTGTGGCCACTAGTGTGGAAAGCTAGGAATGGTGAGGTAGGCTGATGTGTAAGCTATCTGTTGACTGCCTTGTACCATTGTTTTTGGGCTCCACATTATTTTTTGTTCCTGACATTTCATATCATTTTAATATCAATATATTTTGTAGTTTTTGAAGCTAAGCTAGAATATAAAAAGTTGTATAGGGGAAAAATGTTCTTATTTAAATGCAAAAAGGAGAATTAAACCAGAACAATGTAATTGTTTGATTTTAAAAATATTTGTTTCTTTGCTCATTTCTTTATTGAGGCAGGGCATGCACTCCATGGCATGTGTGTACAGGTGAGGGGGTGACTTGCAGGAGTCAGTTTTATCCTTCCACATGAGGATTCTGAGGATCAGATTCCAGTTGACAGGTTTGGCAGGCAGCACCTTTACCCACTGAGCCATCTTGCTAGCTCCTAAATTTATTTTTTATTTTATTTATGTACTTTTTGCAAGTCTAATGATTAAATCCAAGGCCTTGCACATGCTAGGCAAGTGCTGTACAACTGAGTAACAGCCCAGCCTTGGAATTCTGTGCGCCTGTGTGTGTGGGGATGTGTGTGGTCATGCAAGGAGACTAGAAGAGGACGTGGGAGCTTCCTTTATTGCTGTCTCAATGAACCTGGAGCTAGGGTGGGTTGACCAGATTTTCATGCTTACACAGCAAGTACTCTAATCCACTGAGCCATCTCCCCAACACCCCCAATTTCTTTCTTTTTTTATTTATTTATTTTTTTGTCTTTTTTGAGATAGGATCTCCTTGTATCCCCAGCTGTCCTAGAACTCACTATGTAGACCAGACTGGCCTTGAACTCACAAAGATCCGCCTGCCTCTGCCTCCCAAGTGTTGGGATTAAAGGCATGCACCACCACGCCCAGCCTGATTTGTTTTTGAGATGGGGTATCCTTGTAGCCCCAGCTGGCCTGAAACTCACTCTAGCTTTGTAGACCAAGCTGGCCTTACTGTCATTAGAGATCTGCCTGCCTTTGCCTCTGCCTCCTATGTGCTGGAGTTAAAGGTGTGCACGACCACACCTGGCATACGCCCTAAAATTCTTAAAGGATGAGAGCACAGATGACTGAAAGAGCTTTGGCATACTTGTGTCTAACCCAGAGACAAGGAAGCACACCATTAGAAGCTATTAAACCAGGGGATGCTGCTCCATATTATAGGACTCTTAGCCTTGAGGTAGACATACTTTGAATCTTGGGGGCTGGAGCACTGTTGAAGGATATGGCCCTGAAGCATTTGTTTTGTCACCTTCAAATCTTCATAGACCAGACTTGAAGGCCCAGACACTGAAATCTCCCTCTTATGAGGCATCCAATCCAAGTCCCTGGCTTAATGCTTGAGTGGCAGGTACTCTGGTGGAGGTAATGTGGAAGGCGAGATTGTACCCCTATCTTATTGTCTAAAGGTAGGACATGGAGGGCATGCTTGGAGTGGAGAGAGCTCATAAGCCCTGTGAGCCACCCCCATTAAGTGAGTGTTAATAGGCCTAGTCTCTTGAAGGTCTCTTGCAGCGGCTCTTAGTCAAGACAGCAAATGGGCCATGCGTGGTATCAGATGCCTTTAATCCCAGCACTCCAAAGGCAGAGGCAAGCAGGTCTCTGTGAATTCAAGGCCAGCCTGGTCTACATAGTTTCAGGCCAGCTGGGGCTATAGGGAGACCCTGTCTCAAAAAGAAAAAAAGTAAATGGTCATGTCCAACTTGGAGGCAATAGCTACACAACCGGAAAAAATGAAATAAGCCTGGTAATTTGTGTTAGTGAAGATTTGGGGAAAAAATAGGGTAAGAGTGATAGGATGAGTAGGTTGGTCAGAGGAGGCTGGAGGAGTAGATTAGGGTATCTATAGCATCAGGGGAGAATCTGCTGTGCAAAAAGTGCAGATGTGATGGCTTCAAGGCAAGAGTGGCTGAGGAGAGAAGAGAGCAGACCTGGGGATCAGCATGAAGCTGTGTAGAGGGACTGGAAGAAGCTTTGTGAGGGGACACCCACAGAGCAGAGCTGGCAGAGTGCATGTCTGCTCAGGAGAATAACGTAAACATGGAGAAGTTCACTGGGGTGTAGAGAAGAAATGGGTTCCACTGGCCACATGGGAAAGTAGACAGCTGTAGGAAAGAAAGGGGAAGTGGATAGGTATATGCATTTAGACAGTTCAAAGGGTCACAGATTCATTTATAGATTTCCTGGGTACCTACTGGACTAACCATCCACAGAACACTTTGTGTTCACTAATCAACCATTTGTGTCTTATTTTGTGTACCTATGTGTGGTATGCACATATGTGAGTGTGTACATGTGGAGGTCAGAGGACAACTAGTGGAAATCAGTTCTACCATGTGGGTCCTGAGGATCAAAACCTAGGTTGTCAGGCTTGGTGGCAAGGATCTTTATCCATTTGAGTTAAACTATCTTGCCAAATCCAGACATCTGAGTCTTGAAGTTTGAGCATGGAACATTATAATAATTTTTTTAAGATAAAGTCTCACTATGTAGCTCAGGCTGGCCTGAGAGTCACAGTAATCTGCTTGCCTTCACTTTCCTGAGTGTTGGGATAACAAACATGAGCTAACGTGCTTAACTGAACACTTCATAATGAGGCAGAATCTCATTATGTAGACCTCAAACTCACAGAGGCTTCTGCCTCCCAAATGCTGGGATTAAAAGCATGTACCAAAAAAAAAAAAAAAAACAGAAAACATGAGTGCTGGGACTAAAGGTGTGTGCCACCAAGCCTGGCTTCACATTTATACTCTTAATGGTGCTGTTATAACAAAATCATTACCAGAAAGAGGTTTCATAGAAGGTAGGAAATAGGTTTTGTTTTTTTTTTTAAAGACATGTAGCCAGGCTGACCTTAAACTCTATGAAGCTGATGATAACCATGAACTTCTGCCTCCACCTGCAGAGTGCTGTGATTGATTACTGTGTATGTACCACCATTCCTGTTTTTTGATTGACAGGGTTTAATACATAACCCTAGCTGGTTTGGAATACACTCTATAAACCACACTACTACCCCTGCCTCCTAAGTGCTGGGTTTAAAGGTGTGCACCACCACTCCCAGTGTTTTATGCAACACTGGGGATTGAACCCAGAACCTCATACATGCTAGGCAAATACTATAGTATCAGCCCTGAAATAGTTTTTTGGTTGTTTTTTTTTTTTTTTTTTGGTTTTTTTGAGACAGGGTCTCCCTGTAGCCCCAGCTGTCCTAGGCTGGCCTTGAACCCACAGAGATCCACCTGCCTCTGCCTCCCGAGTGCTGGGATTAAAGGCGTGTACCACCATGCCTGGCTTTAAAGCCTGGTATGGTAAGAGATGCCTGTAATCTCAGGAGTTGGGAGGTAGAGGCAGGAGGATCAGGAGTTCAGGGTCATCTTCTAGGATACATTGCAAATTCAAGGCTCATGAACCAACTAGCCTCTCTATGTGGCAACAACGTACATGAGACTCTGTCTCAAACAGGATGGAAGGCAAGGGTAGAAACCTGAGGTTGACCTTCAGCTTGCATATGTGCACCTGGCATATGCACACCAACACATACAATATACATACACATAATAAAAATGTTTTTAAAAATATATTTTATGTATATGAGTGAGTGTATTGCCTGCATGTATGTAAGTGCATCCATGTTGTGCAAAGTCCTCAGAATTGGAGTTACAGTTCTTAGTTGCTATGTGGATGTCAGGAATCAAACCAGGTCCTCTGCTTTTTTTTTTTTTTTTTTTTTTTTTTGTCTTTTTGAGACAGGGTGTCCCTGTAGCCTCAGCTGGCCTGGAAGTTGCTATGTAGACCAGGCTGGCCTTGAACTCACAGCCTCCTGAGTGCTGGGATTAAAAGTATGCACCACCACACCTGGCCGGTCAGTGCTCTTAATCACTAAGCCATCTCTCTAGCCCAATAAGAAGATTTTAAGAGTCAGGCCAGGCATGGTAGTGCACGCCTTTAATCCCAGCACTCAGGAGGCAGAGGCAGGAGGATCTCTGTGAGTTCAAGGCTAACCTGGTCTACATAGTGAGTTCCAGGACAGCTGGGGCTACAGAGACCCTGTCTCAAAGAGACCAAAAAAGAAAAGGATTTTAACAGTCTGAGAGTTATATATAACTCTGTGAGGTAAAAATATGAAAGTGTCTGGGGCTGGAAAGATGGCTCAGTGGTTAAGAACACCAATAGTTCTTGCAGAAGACCTGGGTTCAAATCCCAGCACCCACATGGCAGCTAAAAACTGTCCATAGCTCCAGTCCCAGGGTATCCAACAGCCTCTTCTGACCTCCAAGGGCATTGTATGACACAGGTGCACTTACCTACATGCAGGCAATACACACATACACATAAAATAAAAATAAATTTAAAAAAATGAAAGTGTCATTCATATGTCCTGTTCTTAGTGGACCCAAAGTAAGCTGCTTTAACAATAGTGACACCAAAGTATGTAAGAATGCACAGAAAAGCTCTTGGCATTCTTTGGATTCTTCACAGTCTATTTTAATTTTAAAAATTATATTGTCTGTGTAGCTTGATGTGTGTGTAATGTGTGTGTGGGTGTTCATGTGTAGGTAAGAGGATACCTTTGTAGAGTTAGGTCTTTCCATCTTTACTTGGGTTTGAAGGATCAAACTCAGGTTGCCAGTCTTGTATGTGTGGCAAGCACTTTTATCACTTGAGCCATCTTGATGACCCCCAAAGGTCTATTTCACAGTGACATTTTCAGAAACTTGCTTTTGCTGCTATAGAAAATCAGGCAGCCAAGAAATCGAGCACCTTACCCGGAGAATTGGAGAGCTCACCACTTTATTTCATTCATGTGGTCCCAGATGAGCTACTGCTCTCAAGTTCTGGGTGACTTCCCACTTTCATTTGCAGGTTTTATAGGGTTTTACTTATCATCTTTTAGCAACCATTTCATTGGTAGGTTTAAATTAGAGTTTCATGTAATTTGCAATTTAGTTACCTATATGTTACAAGATAGCCAGAAGACAATTGCAGGAAATTCTTTTCATAGCTAAGCTGTTAAAAGTTGACTACAAAGGCAGATTTACTGGTAGCTAGTTAAACATTTTTACCATGGAATTTAGTAAACAGGACAAATGCAAACTGGGATCCCATCAGATGACTGTAGTATTTCTGGTTTCCTGAGTTCTCCATTGTTTTATTAGCTGTGGCTAATCATTCACTGAGAAAACCAGCCCATGGCAGTTACTATGTCCTAAAACACAGAGAGAA